TTCACACTAAGTACAATGCAATTTAATTGCCTTAAAATGCTTTTCTCACTTCATTATAGCTTGTAGTAATTGTACTGATTCATTGACCTCACATCAAAGCCACAAGTGAATTCTATTTCTTTGCCTATGAGTCGGGAGTTCGTTAAGCTGAACTGCAGCACTTCGATCGGGGTTAGTTTCGGTTTCAAGTTCTGTGAAGTTAAAATGGGTTTCTCTCAGCAGCTGGAGGACTTTTGGATATATCTGAACGAGGAGAATGATACACTGCGAATACCATTGGTCTATATTGTAATACCCATGTGTGCTGTTACCATCGTATTGTTCTTCCTCTGCTGTTACTTTTGCCTCAGGGCGTGTCAGGAGCCAGAATTACGCTTTGTGCCCCGATCTTTGCCCACAATGCCAATGCGTCGCAGTACCGCGGACATAATCCGCATGCCGGAAACTGTGCAGCCAAGGCTATCCATTGAAATAACCAGCTCCGACGAGGAGCACTCCTGTACCTACGTCGAGCTGGATGCGAATACCGTGAATCAACAGAATGCCATATACATGCAGCGCAACTATTGCGTGCGCACCTAAATACACCTTAGCCAAGCTAGACGAGTTCCTTAAATGCCGCTTAAAGTGTGTGAACGTGCCGTGGCTCCTTCGGCGGGTCATAAATTCTCGCCGTTGCTGTTGCCGTTGCTGACGTTTTCTTTTCATCAACCGCAAATTTAGCATCGCTTGGCGCTTTTTTGATAACCATCACCTGCAGGACGAAATGTGCTAATAAACGGCATTCGACATTTTAACTTGGCTGACATTTTAGTAGACGACAACAGCAGCAACAGCAACAGCAACAAAAAGCTGTGACGTGTGGATTTTTAAGCTTTAAGATTATAGTTGGTAAATGAGTATAACATTATATATAAATGATATATAAATATTTTAATTAATAAATAAATTAGTAAAGTTTTGAAATTTGTAGAAAAAAACTTTGTACTTTGCTGAGAGCTTAAAGTCTGCAGTCTTTAATGCTATATATAGCAGCTTCAAAGCTTTGGTAATTAGCTGCAAGCTCTTAAAGCACATACAAGCTCTAGGCATATGTAACTATGAATAAGACGATATATGCAAACTCATTTGAAATAGAAGTTAAAAACTAAAAAAAAAAATAAAAATAAAAAAAAATTAAAAGCATAAATATAATTTTTAGAATTCACAAAATTTTAAAAAATATATATAGATTTTATTATAAAATGAATGTATTTATGTAAATGATTAATATATTTAATATATATTTAAAATAGGAGCAATAGTAACGGCACTGCTAAGCAACTTTCTACTCTGAACTGAAATTTTGATAACATTTTGAAATGATTTTTAGATTGCAGCTAAGTCATAATTAAATGGCAAATTATATTGAATACTTCAGCAGCTAAATGCTTTCAATAACTTAAGCAGACGACTGATAACTCTGATAAAGGAAATGTTATCATTTATGCTGGGTCATTTTTTATGTTTGCTTAAGTTAGATTTTTAAAATGACTTATGGAAGGTTCAAGAGTTTCATATTTTTATTACATACAGAACATAAATATTATGTATATAGAATATATATTGTTGATCTATATCAAAAGCCGCATCATTGAAGCACATTTAATTTTTTGTCTTGAGTGTCCTCTCATAGATTTTTGAAAGCTTTTATTTTTCCAGTGTAGAAATATAATTATCGAAATTAGTTGGCTTTTTTATTATATAGCTACCATATTTAAGATAAATTGACTAGATTTAAGTTTGCATATCAATGTGCATGGTTTCCCTCAACCTCTGATTTAGACACTTAATTTGAGTAGCTATAAAGTGTTAAATGAAATTAAAATGAAGTGCATTTGGGGAATACCCCTGATAAATTATTTATATAACTTGTGAAGTACCTTAGCAATTTGAATGCAAATTGTAATTGAATTGAATTGGCCAACTTTGGGCAACTCGTTGGTCACCTTACGGGCCTTAAATTGAAAAGCTAAAATAATTTACGGCTCAACTAGCTGCATGCCAAAAAGAAGACAGAGAGGGGGAGAGGGAGAGAGCAAGCTACATTTTGGCCAAATGAAAGGCTCCCAGTTGGCAAATTAGTTTAAAAATACGTTGACAACGTGGCAAAGGCCAACATTGAGCTGCTGTGCCACAGTCGCAGCTGCTCAGCGTGGCGCATGCTGCGTTTTGGGTGGCATAAAAATTCACTTTGCCAGCCATTTGGCCACGTTCTGGCCAAACTTAAGAGCGAACTAGCGCAGCTCAATAAAATTTCGTGTTTTACAATTTTATTATGTGACGCCTGTCGCGCGTCTCGACTGCATCAAATATTTAATAACAAAACAAAAAAAAACGTTTTTTGGCCAATTGCCAGAAAGACTTTGGCCCATTGGCTGGGCATTGGCATTGTTCGTCGTGACTCTTAAGTAATTGCGTTTTAGTGGACACACGTTTTATGCTTGACCAAAGCCTTTAAATCATTTGCCTGCCTCATCCCTCAGCACCCACCCCCGCACACACCATCACCCATCCACGCCCATGTTCAATTGCTTTGGTCTGCTCGTTGTTTATCTTGCGACCATAAATTAACGCATTACCCATGCTGTCTCATCTTGTTATACGCTGTAGATAGTGTGCAGAGCGGGTAAATTGGCTTTTTTGTCTAGAAATGTGAATTTTATTTGTAAATGATTTGGTTTGTGGCTTGAATAAAATTCTATTGGCTAAGGCTTCGAATCGAGATTAATTTAGCTTATCAATTATAAATCAACATATTTTTATAGTTTTCATAATATTTATATGTATCTTGCTAGAGCTCAGTTCGAGTATATAAACTCATTTGCTTATTGTCCTCACATTGTTGCAAGAATCATCTCATTTATATGTTAAGTTTCTCATAACTAGTTATAGAATTCTCATTTCCTCTCACTTCTCTTCAAATCCAGCCATCTAACAGTCACGCCCCCAAAATTCTGCACATCTATAAATTTTTCTAGCAACTAAAACTCACTTCACTCTTCAATTAAATCAATCATGCAGTCAAATACCTTTCTCTCCACCACATTACAGGGTATGTGATAGTCGTCCAGCATCACTTTGCCATTTCTTACTGCTTGTTGTTGTTATTGTATTAGTCCCTGTAGCAAAGCAGGCATCGAACTGTTTGCATTTCGACCGTTGCAATTGGCCATGCAGCTGCTGCCGTCAAAATTGTGGCCAACTGTGTGGGGTTTACACAGCGGCCGAGGTTAACCGCAATCGAAGCACTAAAAACTCCCTTCCGATCATTAATTGTGCCAAAGCAGTATGCGTGTGTGAATGGCCAAAAGTTTCGCCCTCACATTTTGTTTGATTTAGAGCAAAACACTTGAAAGTTCGGCCATTGCCGAAAGTCTACTTCTGGCCAGCCAAAGAATTGGCTCTTTGTCTGCTAATGAGCCAATTTAGTTGCATCGAGCCGAAATTGCATTGTGTCTGCCACTTGAACACTTGGCCAACTCTCTTTGAAATGTTAAACAGCTTGCCCATATCGGTGTCACAGCAGCTGCCAATTGGACTCAACTTTCTGGGCGTGCAAGACATGTGAAGGCGGATGGCAAATGGCAGATGGCACAAGTTATACATTGCAAAGAGTAAGTCTGCTTAGATATAGCAGTCTTTCGATATTTTTTGTAGTCGTTTTAGTGATATAATCTATGCTTATAAACTAATAAGAACTTTACTTGATTAAAGAAGTGGAGCACATATAAGAAAGGCTGCTTCCTTTTGTGATTATGCTTAGTCTTAATTAATAAAAATATTTTTTTTTGTATGCCTAACAGTCTCTGGATTTTAGTATATTGCTTAATTTATTTATAAAATTTTATATAAAATAAAAATTTAATTTGATTTGAGCTTTTGTAAAGAACGTTCTTCATTTTGAAAATTTTATATAAAATAAAAATGTAATTTGATTGGTGTTTTTATAAATAACGATCTTCAAATTGGAATTCAATTTTTAATGGTTTCGTGTAATGACATTTAAGTGGCAGAAGAAGGTGCGGCATAGTCTTTTAAGTATATGTATTCTATATCAGAACGATGAGCTAAGTCGATCTAGTTATGTGTATCTGAGTATCTAGCATCTAGCTGCTCAACTGAGTGTCTGTCCGTCCGTATGAGCGAAGCTAAGGCACAAATGCTGGAGGCTTACAATTTGAATGAATTATAAATTTATCGAAAAACATTTTCTCATTATTTCGTTTTTTTAAAGTAGCTAATTACCATAAATACTAAAATTTAAAATTCTTCTTCAGCCAACCTTTATATTTATAACAAATATACTGTGGAATAAGACTTACTTTAATATGAACAAACAATGAGCCAGGGAAAGACTTACTGTAAAATAGACATAAATGAGAGAGAAAGGCTGGGTTACAATTGGGCAAATTGAGCAGTCGGGCGTAGCATCATAAATATGTTAACAGAATCAGCTCAGATTAGTTAAGTTGTAATTCAAAATAATGAGAGCTTCTTGATAAAAAAAACGTTTTTATAAATATTTAAAATATGAGTTTGAAGGAGTAGTAGGTTTAGATAGCTCAACGGTCTTTTTTGTTCTTGTTATTAAATTTGAACATACTGAAACACTGGATAAGGCTAATCTTATATTTAGATTCAGCTACTACAAAATTTAAAAAAAAAAACTAAAATCTAAGTTTTAATAAGTTGTCAGTAAAAACTTAATGTGATGTTGCCTTTATATTGGCTTTGTTAAAAAACTGAATCACTGAAAAATAGAGAGTACGAAGTCTTATCCATAAAGATGATGATCGATCTGCCTGCGCGTCTGAGAAATTGTGCAAATAATTTATATAAATTTCATGTATTATCGAAGCTATAGTTGAACATATAACTTGAATCGGTTTTTGAAATTCAGCATATATATTTATATATATATATAAATATATATATCTATTTATCAATAGATCATCTGTCGTTTCCTTATTTCTTCAGCCTAACCGAGAGCAGATACTTGCGGCAGGCATCCAAGGAATGTCGCTTCAGATAGCACTCCTGACTGAAGTACTTGCCGCATTGTCCGCACTGGAACTCCCAGCGATGGTGGCCCATGGTGCGCTGATGCGAACGCAGATTCGAGCTGTCAAATGCCATACAAAAATGAATTGTATTGATATATAGATTATATATACAAATGCCTCACCGATCGGCAAAGCTCTTCTGGCAATTCATCTCGGGACAGACGAAGGGCTTCTCGCCCGTGTGAGTGCGCTTGTGTGCTACCAGCATCCATGAGTGATCGAATTTCTTGTTGCAATCGCCGCAGAGGAACTGCTCGCCCGGCTGCTTGAGACGCCGTCGATCTGTTGGCTTCTTCAATAGCTCCGGCTTGGAGCGCTCGGCCAGCTGCACCCTCGGCGATCGAGTGACCATGCCCTGATTACATTGAATTAGCAGCTCGTCGCGCTTTTGCATATCCGCCTTCTTGCGCCGGCCCTTGGTCTTGGTCAGCATCTTGATTCTGCCCAGCTTGGTGACGCCATTCTTTCCCTGTTTCTGCTTTGCAAATATGGCCAGCTCCTCGCCGGGCAGCTCCAGCTCCCAGATGGTATGGCTGAAATCTCCGCTCGCGTTCAACTCAAGGTCCATCAACTGTATATCGTTGACCTCCTCCATGCGACGCCGCTCCACAATGGGCACATTGTCGGCTGCGCGCCAATCGCTGCTCGGCTCCCCGCTGCCGTAGTGAAACTTCTTGCCAGCGCCCTTATGCTCGCTATTTGGCGTCTTGTAGAAGTGGCAGAAGGCCTTGCCGTGCCCCTGCAGTGCGACCAGGCGCGGCATAGGCGTCATGCTTGGTATGGCTAAGCAAATTGCTGAAGAGCTATTCTATTTGAAGTGAAAATAGAGACAGCTTTATATTTTATATTACCTGCATATTTTTCATAGAATTGCTCATAGTTGCCATTGTAGCGATCGGAGAAGAGACTGCGAAAGAGTCGCGGCATCTTTAATAGTTTTTCACACAAAACAAATCCCAAGTTAAATGTAATTTATGTGAGTTTTATATGTTCTATGAAAACTGTTTGATTTCTTTTGTTGTTTGACAAGTCTGACAACTTCAGGAACTGCCAACCTTATGGAATTTCATTAATACTTAACAACATAAAAAATATTAATTTTTTTTCTTTATAAAGAATATAAAATAATCTAAATATATAATCTAAATATATATTATTTTTCGCCTGATTATTTTATAATTAAAAAACATTTAAAATTTTATGTAATTATTTAGTTTAAATTTTTGCTTAAAGTGGATGCTTCAGCATTGCTTTGATTAAACCTTTTTTTAATTAGCTATTTAAGAAACAGTTACTAAGAAAATAGTTTTTAGTCGGGAGTGCTTGAGTTTTGTTATAGTATGTATTGAAACTAAATTTAGTTCACTTGCTTATTTTAATGAGTATTTTCAAAAATTTAATCTTAAATTAAAGTAAATTTATTTCACTTCTTAGACCTCAATTAAAATTATTTAACTCATTTGCGCGCGCGTCCAAAGTAAACAGAAGAAAAGACTACTTAAAGTTGAAAAACTGTGAAGAGCTTTACTGGATTTGCTATGATGCTTATTGGCTTAAAGCCGCTGGCCAAGCACTGCCTTAAACTGGTCTTCATGAGGCCACTTAAGACGAAACACTTAAACAATTTTCTTGTACAAATTTTTGCACACGATTGCCAGAGGACAAGGAGCTGGGTCGGAGTGCGAATCCGACTCGGAGTCTGAGGCGATCAGAATGCTCATGAATGTGGTATACAATAAAATTAGTTTTCTTCCTATGTGGGTGTGTATGTGTGTGTGTGCGAGACATGCAAAGACGTTTGCAATTTGCCTGTAATCCTCCAGCGCACAGTTGCTTGGGCCTTGGATAGGTTGGAAATGGAATAACTTGAGGGGCCAGCTACTTCAACGCTTTAAACAACGAAAATTGAATTGTAGTTTGCAGTTGGTCTTCGGTAAGCACTTAAAAGAGCTTGTTCACAACAATTTTCAATTGTTTGGCAGTTTATGCGCTTTTATTTGCGTTCCTTTTTAGCTTCGAAGTGTGTTTTGTAATAAAAGCCGGAAGAAACCGGCCAAATGGCCTTATTTCATTTATTTGCCACTTTATTACCCATAGTTGTTGTTGCTGCTGCTGCTGCTGGTCGGCAAATTACTTGGGTAATTTCAAATGCAATCGGCCTTAGTCAAAGATAACATGAGCAAATTTACCAGTTAAACATTAATTCATTTTGACAATTGCAAACTGCACAGAACTCAACTTGTTTTTATCTCTTGCTAAATGCTTTATGCCAGTATATTGCACAATTTTTCATAAGCATGTGAGTGCCAGTGTGTGTGTGTGTGTGTGTTTTTCATAAATTTTTATTTGCTCTGTGCGTCTAACGAGAAAATCGCATAAATGTTTTCGACTGTCAACAAAGGCTTGACATGAAAGCAACTGCCAGCCCAATGAAACGATTCTTTCTCTATTTACTCGCTTTGTCTGTGCGTGGGTGTGTGTGTGTGTGCTTGTGTTTCTCTTTAGTGTTTGTCAGTTGGACTATTAAATATCTATTTGAAGTACATTGAAATTGCGCAATCCTGGCACAAAACAGCGCACTTTATGGCAGCAGCTAGAAAAAAATTATTGCATACTTTTGGGCTGGCCATAAAGACTTTTCCCTCTCTTTCTGCCTCACTCTGTCTTTCTCTCTCTGTCTGCCTTTGGTAATGAAAAAGCATTCCAAATGACATTCGCTTCACAAATTGTGCTTTGCATTTTATATGCTCTGACAGTGAACACTAATTTGAGGCGCAAACAAACGCCACAAATGAGTTGTGGGTCAGCTCAATTAACGGACTCATTTTTATGTGGGGTATTTAAAATATCTTTTTGCACTTAGCATATGATGAGATATATGAATAAGATATATGAATATGCATCTTTTGATTAGATGTTATAGTAAAATTGAATAGAATTTTATGAGTATCTGAGAATATGTCTAGATCTAAATCGATATACTTTTAGATAGAGACAGATTTAGATTCATTTTTATACACTTATCTATAGAGATACATCTTTAGATATAGATATACATAAATAGAGATACTTTTAGATAGAGACAGAATTAGATGGCGATACACATACATATAAATACAGATACACATATAGCTATAGATACATTTAGATACAGAAATATCTTTAGATAGACATGCTTTTAGATAGAGATATATTTAGATTCAGATACATATAGATACAAATACTTATAGATACAGCTACATATAGAAAGAGATACATTTATATAGAGATACTTTTAGATAGAGATAGGCTTAGATACATATATATCTATAGATTTTAAGATAGAGATCCTTTTAGATAAATTTAGATACAGGCACATATAGAAAGAGATTATTTTTTAATCACAAATGTAGGGCATTTATTAGTCGCACAAGGAATAAAAGCTAATTTAATTTTTTATTTTTTGCTGCCTTCACAAACAATTGTCGAGTGCGCGTTTTACGTACGTGCGTGTCAGTTGGTTTGTGCAAGGAGCTCGTGCGGCCAGATCTTAAAGCCGGCTGCTGATTGGGCTGAAATGTGGCAACGTAAGCCACGTTAAGATGACGTTTGGCTAGTGCTTGAAAATATGCAATAAATGCGTCTCGTTGCGTCTCCCAGAAGGCCTGCGGCCAAGATTGCATTGCAAATTTTGTCATCAACATATAAATGAAGTATGAATGGCAGACGTCTGACTGTCAATTGGAAAAACGAGCCAATAAATCCAGGTGGCATCATAACCAGCTCTACAATGGGAAACACAACAGCAACTGCTGCATTTACTCGACTCTTGCACAATTTGCCAATTTCAAATGTAATTACTTTAGCTGAGCCCGAAGATTTGCTGCAATTCACATTTGATAAATTACTTAAAGAAAGAAAAAACGAGTAGAAAAAGAAATTCTGATTTAATATTCAGCAAATCCGAATGAAAATATATATATAAATGTATAATTTAATCAAATTCTGTGTGTGTGTATGTGTTGGGGGAACGGAACGATAACGATCCGGTTTGCTGCAGGCGTTGGCAAATTAAATTTGCATGCCGCAATTCCATGCAACAAAAAAGTGTCAAAGTCCGAACTTGTGTCGAGTTATTTACTAAAGAAAAACACAATTGTTTGTAGCATTTGCGGCTGGACCACAAAATTTGACCAGGCACCATGAGCCCAGTGGCACGCCCTCTCCATTCCCTCCTTTTACTCCACCTATTAAGGTAGCAGCATAAACAACAAACTGCGACATAGGCAAATAGAACTTATTTTTGCTGTGCGAGTAGATTTGAAAATTTGTTAATTTGCGCAAAAGTTTGCATTGCATTTCCTCTGGCGACGTGTGTGGCATAAACTCGTGCAACGGGCCAACTGACTGAACAGCTAGAGATGTGCAACTGATGTGCTGCTTCAGCGTGACACGAAAATTTATTGCGTTTCGAATATTGAGTGTGGAATGGAAGAGCATGGAAAGCTTAATGAAAATATGTGTAAACTTTAAAGGGACTAGAGATGAGCAGCTGTTGCCATCGTGATACGAAGCTTGATGTAGTAAAATATTCAGTTTTTTAATGATTGAATAGTTAAGATAGACTATCAGCAGATAAAATACCTAAGAGTAATATTTCTAATTTTTAAAAGTTGCGAGTGTTCAATTAAAAGTGTGCCTAAAGTGATTTTCACTCGTGACACGAAACTGGATTTAGAAATGGATATGAAATTTCTAATGTAAGAAGTTGATAGCTTAAAGCAACATATTGCTATGCATATTTTTCTCTGCAAGTTTCTTACTGGAGAAAAAACTTGTTTTATGTTCTTCATTCGTGACACGAAATCTTATATGTTAAAATATTGAAAAGGAGTGTATAGTGCGATATATGAATATTGTAATAAAAATTCTTGATAATGCTTCTGATTTTATATACATAATTTAGTTTAAAGTATATTTATTGATTATATGTATATGTATTTTAGCTCACGACACGCGCTCTTCTCTACTACAGGCTCACGAGCTGCTCGCCTGGCCAGGCGATTATGTGATTTGGCTGAACTCGGTCGAGCAGCGAGCAGCTCTACGAGGTCTGAGGCTAACCACTTTGCTGTAATTAATGAACAGAACACATATTTGGAAATAAAGGCAGAGCCAGCATACGCATGGTAAAAAAAAAACTTGCTTTAGACTACAATTAGCATAGACCAAAGCCAGAACAGTTCTTATATGACATGTACCTCATTATTATATTTCTATTGACTTGAATTGATTAAGAATTATATATTTATTACATTCGTTGATATATATTTTAAGGCCAGTTGGATGTGAATAACTCGAGAATTAACTGGATACCAAGTTGACTGTACTCTGTATAGACACATACATACTCACACAAGGAAATGTATTCAAAAAGTAGAGCTTACAATATATGTAAATGTATTCGTTTGGGAATTTCTATAAAAGAAATTTGATGACTCTAGTTCTCAAAGTGTAAAAGATAGGTTGAAAAATAGCTAAACTTTGGCATCGATTTCTATTGATTTCATTGTAATGGAAAAAAGTTATCGATGATGTAAAGGAAACGTCATCTACATCAGCTATAGCAGTACCAATGAATAACATGTGAAGACTCTAGATCTCACAGAAATTTCGAAAGCAAAATATTCACACATACGAATAGACGGACAAACAGACTTACGACCGGACAGACGATAGATGGACAAATCTTGATTAAGTCTACATATAACAGACATGACTTCTTCTCTTAGTGACATGTAAAAAATATTTCCTTAAGCTATGAATGTCTTTCCGAATTCATAGAGAATCACTTAACATTAGACTTAGCCTTAACTTTAACCTTAAACTAGTTTTTAGCCATATAAATTTAGCCATATTTCGTTCCGTTTTCGGCCAATTTGGCATCCTCTATGCCTATATATAAGTTATGACAGCATTCGCATCTGCTAGCATTATCTTTTTAGTGGAAGCTGTTGGTCCATAAAATGGACCCGTTGCCATTTTTAGCAG